TTTGAGATGCATAACCTTGCATTGAAATGCATTTCAAGAGTTGTACTCAATTAGTACCCTTCTGCCACGGACAAGTTTAAACCAACAACTGAGACCTAACCTAAGAATAGTAAAACCACCACAGGGTAAGAACAGATACATTCCTTAAAAAATTATAAGAATAAACTATTCTTTTAAATTATAAATTATGATAAATTATTCTATTTTTAACACAACATCATAATTCTATTTACTATCGTAAGTATGTTTTAAAGAAAAATTGACATCACACGTTTGAAAAAAACTAATTTATCTTGATTTATAATTTAAAGGACAATTTGTCATTGCATTTTTTCAAAAGATGAATCTGTTCCTTCCCCTTATTTGAGAGGTGAATTTGAGAGTTTTGTCCTAACAAAAATATGAAGAAAGCAAAATTATACTGAATGACAAACAAATGGAACATGTTTGGTTCATTGTGATCTATTCTAGCTGAACCAATGAATTTCTGCACTGTATTATCAAAAAGGACTGTTTACATTCACAAAAAGGTATCTAAGATTAACTCCTGGTAAAAAAATTTAGCCTGAGTTCCTAATTGGAATTCCCAGGAAATTAATTATACTAAAAACGCAATCATGGAGAACAAAAAATGATACATGACAACCTAGTGTTAGATAAAGCTCTCCCCCAATCTCTAACCCTCTAACTACTCCACTTTTGCTGAAGAAATGATACAACACATATTTACAAACCAGGCAACTTGTTGGTCCATGACTCCACACATAACAGAAGATATGTTGCTGGTCTATGACTCCACGCCTCACAGAAGATATGTTCCTTGCAATGTATACAGTTGGACAAGATAGTTAAAGGGAACCATGAAAAAAAACATACCAACGGTTGTAGGTATGGTATACTATCTTCATCTTGGCCACCACATGCTTGGAGCTGCAACACACGGTAAAAAAAATATATGAGCCTGTCATTCTGACAATCTACCTATATAAACAGGGTACTGATGTTTTCGTGAATTGCATCTCTATGACCATAAAAGTTGGATGGGCAACAACAACAACAATGATGATGATGATGATGATACATTACAATGACTATAAAAGTGGATGGGCAATAATAATAATGATGATGGTGACTAGACAATGAAGCTAACATCATCCGTTAATAGAGATGCAGGCATTGGTAGTAAAAAGTAGTAAACTACAAGGTATCAGAACAAGACAGCGAAACATTTTCTACTTTGCTGGAAAGGCAGTCTCAAAGAAAAATACAAACCTCTTGACCCCACTGGAACAGCCCCTTCGGGAGGTGGTCTCATAGGGAAGGAATTTCTGTGATTCATGTCACGAGGTGGATAACCCCAGCCTTGGTTAGGAAATCTTGCTGGTTCACATGGCGGGTGACCATATGAACTAGGTCCATAGGACGCTCTATCTCTGTCAGGATAACATGGGCCTACGTGTTGAAAATATAGGGTAGTAGATGGTTAGATGTTATCAATTAACAGTAAAAACTTTCCTGGTATCTTTAACAAAAAATATTTAAGTCTTACCAGAAAAGGAGGGTGCAGGACCCCTCCAGCTCTCTCTACGTCCATATGGGACTGGTTTCATTCTCTCGTGGCTACTGTAAAAATTTCTGCCTTCACCATGTGGTGAATGATGAAATCTATTGGAATATGAGGGAGGAGGGGCCTCCCTCTGAGATTTCATATGTTGGCCTGTGTGAACGAATGAAAACTGATCTGATGGTGCATGATAAGGAGGACATGGTGGGTATGCCTTGTGATGAAAGCTAGGACCATCAATTTGTTGCATATTGCTCAATGGACGAGCTGGGTAACTATTGTAAGAGTTATTGCAGTCAGAAACCTGGCTTGTGACATGAAAATCCGCAGATTCGGGGCCTTGATAAGGCACTGCATTGGTGCACAATGTTGAATCCACTCTAGGAGGAACAGACGGGGCCATCGGCTGCCGCAATTCATCTTGCACATTCTGCAAAAATGACCAATTCAAGAAGAAAATAATAAAACTCAATTGTATGTTCCACTTTTACATGCTAATATCAACCAATTGAAACCCTGAAAGATGATGCAAACTGGTTGGATGCCCATGCATACTTACATAAATCCTTGAGTCAACACCATTAGTGTAGGAAGAACCAGACATTGGACATGGAGCAATGACAGGGGGAGGAGGCGGCGGGGGTGGTGAAGAAGGTGGAGGCGGGGGTGGAGATGATGGCAATGGTGGTGGTGATGATGGAGGGACATCATGTGGCAAAGGAGGAGTGAGGGGCAAATGATAATGCTGCACAGATTGGTCCTGCAAAGTTTGTGCAATACTAACTCCAGCAACACTGCAGGTTGAACTCATTTCAACTTCACAAGGAGCAACATCCTCCATTTCAAGTTCACCATCAACGTCTTCCAAAATATGTCTATGCTTCTCAATTGAAGAGCTTACTTCTTGTTCTTCAGGAGTTACAGAATAGTGTTCAGGAGTGACTGCCTCAAAACGCTCTTCATCAGAATCACTTCCTTCATTCTCATCCTTGAGCATGCATGGCATACAAAATCCAGGAAGCTGAAAACTTGAATTGCTGAGGCAAGAGAAATTATCTAATCAAAGGCAATTCTCAACAATATTGAAATGAACCAAGAGTCAAACAGATCATGTGCTAAACCTGCCATATTCATCCACAAGCATACCCTCCATCTCTCTTACAGGATCATCAAAGGCCCTCTCCGTTCTTGCTGAGCGGCGAGAAAGTGAATCAATTTCTCGTATATGTTGGCGAATAACAGACTCTGGAAGAATTTTTCTTTCCATCCAAACTCTCAAAACCTATGCAAAAAGAAAAGAACCTAGAGAAACCTAAAAAGGCAGAAAAAGAAGGAAACAATTTTAAAGTTTTAACAAATAAATAGAAAAAGCAATTACCTTTAGGCACTGCCTTCGATTATCATGTGCAATAGATCCAGGAGGAGCCGCAGCAGAGAGTAGGCGTGGCAGTTCCGCTTGAATGGCTGAAGGGTATATACTCCCAAAATCACCTGGATATTAAAATTAAACATAAACACAATTCTAACCACATTTCATCTACTAGACAGCTTTCATATGATGATGCTGAAACAAGATATTTCCAAACTAATATCATACATACCTTTCAAACCTCGGGAGTACTGAGTAATGGAATCCACAAGAAAGAACAAGTCTACCCTTCTCTTTAGGCTTGACTCACATTCCAAATGACGAGCCAAAATCTCTACAACCTAGGTTTAAAATCAAGAAATTGATAGGTTTAAGCCAAATTTTCTACAAAGTACCACCTCTATTTTGGACTTCATATTAATATGCCATACATCTTAATTCATAAAAATCCTAATAAGCCTTTTAGCAATTGAGGAGAAAAAAATAATGACAAATGACTCTGCATCCAATAAAAGTTTAGAAAAATCTACCACACTCCAAGAACCTAGATCCAAATGTTAACAACATCCACATAAAACTATCCTATAATAGGACTTAAAATCCCTGTCATACATAAACACCCATGTACTGCATTCATTGTTATACAAATCTGCTAACCTACAAGCCCTTGTGAAGCTTCTTACAACAAAAACAAAACATAGATGCCAGTAAAGAGTTTATACTAGCTCTTTCATGTTTATTCCAAATAAACACAAGTTGAATAATTATTTGGACAGGATTATTCAATTCACATAGTGGTTTTTTTTAAAAGACCCATTAATTTACATTTGCTCTCCAGTATGCAACATCTTCAGACACTCATTAATCTGAAAGATCATTCCATGAAGACTTCTTAAGACAAAAACAAAAAATAGATACAGTAATGAATTTATACTAGCTCTTTCATGTTTCTTCAAAATAACCACAAGTTACCAATATACATATGGTTTTGCTGAAAAAATCCCGTTAATTTACATTCACTTTACAGTATGCAACAAATTCAAACACATCATTAATCTGAAAGATCATGCCGTGATAAACATAGTGTTCCCTGGTTGAGGTCACATCTGAAATAACAGGCAATCAACTCAACTATTCAACTATCATTAAAAAACTGGAGAAAGAGTTTGTGGACTTCACAATTGAAACTGCAGAAAGAAGATATTAACAAACAACAAAAAATCTCACTAAGCCATTAAATAAACTGATATACTGACATGGAATTAATTGAAATGTGCATGGAAAATTCTGCATGATGGAATTTTTTAAGTTCATCAGTTCCCAGAAACCATAAAAAAAAGGTTTATCAAAAGCTAGTAATGGTAAAATAAAGTATCTAACTCAGCAATGGTGTAATGCCTAACTCAGCAATGGGGCAACGCCTAACTCAGCAATGGTGTAATGCCTAACTCAGCAATGGTGTTACTCCCAAAAGAAATGGAAATAAAGGAAAATGGAAAGGCAGACTACCTTAGCAGAAACCCCAAATTTGGCACAGTCAATTGCTATTCGTGTCGCACGAAGAATACTTTCCTTTGCCCTTGTTAAGGTTCCTAGCATATTCTCAAAGGATGACAGAGCAGCATGCACTTCTGCATAATTATTGCACTTGCTGACAGATCTTGGCCTGTCAGAGCCTGCAGATTCAGTTTTTCCTTCATCATAAGCAGTTGTAGCACAGAATGTTTTATTCTGATGAGAGTGGACATTGGGACTACAGCATCCATTCTCTTGAATAATATTAGCACTCTCTGAGGTAGACATGTCGCCAATTGAGATATTGAGGGGAGAAACCCTAGCAACAGAATCCACTCCGTCAGTTGAAGGCGGACTTAACTGGATGCCTAAGCCATCTTTGTCACTTAAATGGCCATCAGAGATCAAGGCAGAACTATTAATTTTCTTTTCCTTGCAATGGACATCTTCCATTACCTCATGCCTAAAACAAGAAGTATATCAAGAATGCAAACTTTAAAACACAGGAACATTAAATATGTAGAAAATATGTAATAACTAAAAAACTAAATGAAGAACTACTTTTAATAAAGTGGGTGGAGGTTAATTAGACAAGCATGGAAATTTTTGTTACTGAGCTTTAAGAAGAAAATTATTACATAATAAGGATGAAATTTATTAGTATACAAACAAGTAACAGATAGATATGTGAACTTACATGTCATTAACTAAGGTGCTCTCATCTATTTGAGACTTAAATGACTCATTATTCGTGTAACAAGAATATTCAGCAGCATGCTGAGGCACATTTGCACCATCTTGATCAGGAATTTCAAGAGTTTTGTTGGGCACTAAGCCAGAAGGATCAGGACTTATCTTGATATGTTTTGAATTATCAAGTTGATCATCAATATTTTCAGACCTAGGATTGCTTGAATCAATATTTTCAGCATTATTACAATCTTTTGAAAGCAACTGCTGATCCAAAGAATCAGTATTAGATCTGAAGCAAGCCTGCTCTTTTCCAAGATTAGGGGACAATCGGTCTAAGTGTTGGGTTTGTTCCACATGTTGAACAGTAAAAGTATCAATGAGTGGCCAACTATTATTTTCACCACCATTTTGATCCCAGGTATCCAAAATGACATCCGTACAGCATTCATGATTTTTATTATCTGGACTGGCAGGTTGATTGCAGGTGGCTGCTTTCATGGAAGATTTAATAGGCTTGTCCAAAAGTGTTGAGTTTGATGTGGAAACAAACGCAGATGCACCATTTCCAAGTGAGTCCACACCTTCAAGTTCCAAATTGCTAGCATCTTTCTCTACAGCATCCATTTTAGAACATACCCCAACTGGAGAGTCACAACAGCCATCAACTAGAGTGTTCAAGGTTGCTGAAGGTTCATCACAAGCTTTGCCTTCTTCTGCAGCATTAGCAGACATAGCCTCAAGAGCACGGTGGAGGCGTTTTGATGGAGGTAAAGCAGCTTCACCATCAGCTGAACAGCCAAACTGATTTCTTGAATCTTTCAAGGGTTGTGGTATATCTCCTGAAACTTGAGTAACAATTTTTGAAGGTGACTCAATAACCAAATCTCCCTTTGCCTCTATAGGGTCTCCATCAGTGGGACTACCAGCATGACAGTTTGATGATGAACTGATCTGCCTCAATGAATCAACTGCAACTCCATTGAAAGTGTTTTCTTCAACCCTTGAAAGACAATTGGAGTCATCTGCCGATGATAGTCTGCCCATTCGTACCCTAGCACGTTTTACTAAAGGAAGGTGCTCATCTCCATCTTCTCTGCAGTATTTTACATTCAAACTATCACTAGTGTTCTGTGAAGTTTGCCTAGTATTATGCATTTCTACCTTCAGATCAGCTTCTACTTCACCTCTAGTGGTAGGCTCAGAAGGATCATTAGCCATAGCCACACGCTTTCTGTTTGGTTTCCTTTTCTTCTTAACAACAATAGCCTTTGTTTGGAAATTAAGTGCTTTGTTCAGCTCAGCATCTCCCTCCAAACACCCAACAACAGACTCTGAGCATTCAAGTATACAGTGAGAATCAATTGTGCTGCTGTCATCTAAACTAACTGTATCAGATTCAACAGTGGCAATTTCAGAACCATTATCATCACTACTACCATCATTATATGACATGACAGAGTTTTGGAATTTAGATGATTCCAACCTTGATGAGTTTATAGTCCTTTGGACAGATGGTGCCTTCCGCTGTGCAACAGATTTTTGTGACTGTAAGCCACCATATCTTTTTCTGGATGAGTAGGTAGCCAAAGTAGGTTTTTCTTTAACCAACAAATGATCAGCAGGTTGCACTGGTATTGATTCTCTATCACATAAATCATCCATCTTTTCCCCAGATGAAGCATCCTCAGTTGGAAGACTTGGATCATTTCCTGCGGTAATAGAATTTGAAATTTTCAAATCTAGCATTGCCTCAGAAGTATCAATCAGATCCTTTGACCCAGATGAGTCCAATGAATTTGCACCATTTGCCAGAGTAACTACATCACCAGAGTTGGAATCATCAACCAGATCCTGCTTCTTTAACTTCTCATAACAGTCAACAATCTCCTGCACTGCACGAACAAAATCTGCACCCCTCCCTTGGCGTTTCACTAGAAGTGATTGTTTCTTCTCTTCCGTAAAAGGCTCAACATCAGCAGGATTACAGAAAGCTCTGCAAGCAAAATATCTATTTTAAAAACAAACATATATATGTGCAAATTAAGCTCAAACTATGATCAACAGAAAAAGGCACTGCACCATGATTGACAACATCAGTCCAGAGAAGAGATTAAGAAGAAATAAAAGCCTTTTAAGGAACCCACATCTTGCCACTTCTCTAAATGATCTCATTCAATTAATATTCTATTCTGGGTTTATTTAAAGAGAATGAATTCCCCCCCCCCCCCCCCCAAGGATCATAGTTAGGGCCTCACTAAACTATTAGGTGGGGTACTATCCCACCATATAAACCCCAAGATACCACTGCCCCAATCCCAATCCCCCTCCTGTCAGACAAGGGATTGTCAGTTATCATCATTTCAGTTTCAGCAATAGCCATCCCAGGTGTTGGCATATTCCAGACTGGTCTTTAATAGCCTTCCCCTCACAAGCATAGCCATGCCAACCCAATCCAATATAATTCACTAATTTTAATTACAAATACCATAGGATGAACTGACTAATAACTTTTACCTTTTTATCCTATTTCTCACCCTATTCCAATTCCATTTTCATGAAACAGATGTATAATGAACCAAACATGACCTTATTTAATTCCCCAAATTTCATGCATGGATCCCATTTTTTTTTTTTCCTCAATAAAATTGCTTCTCCCAAAATGCTGAACATTCATCTCTCTAAAAGGCTAACACTAAAACATCATTCCCTGACAGTCTAACCATCACCAAAGATCCAGCAAACAAACCAAAATGTCATTTTCCCTTTTGCTTGTAGGAACTTTTACCCTTTTTTTCCTATCAAGTATGTTTTTGATCTGGCACCCTAATTCTTAAATGTTCAAATCAACATCATCCATGCAATCTCTATTTCCTAGGAACCTTGCCCAGCAATTGGTTGCCACTAAAGTTATATTAGATTAAATTTCCTTTGCAGCAGAATTTTTTTGGTTTTCCCTCAAAATGGTATGTTAAAATCAATTATATTCGTTTTTTTACCAATTTAGAAATCAAAAGAACATAAAGTTGTATGTGCAATATAGGTAGACTTTTTACATCCACACAGCAGGGATTAAAATGATTTCAACATAACTCCCAGTCTTATTCCACATTTAATCTTTTCTTTCTTTCTTTCTTTCCATTTTTTTTTCTTTCATGAAAAATACACAGGATTAGAACCAAATAGCTTTTTCCACCTGCAAACCAAAATACAAATAACCATTACCTACTCAACTCCATTCCTATATAGTAGATATTCCATTCCTACCTCACTCCATTCCATGAACAACATAATGAAAGTTTATCATATGGGAGTTAAGGTTGCAAAAAGAATTTCATTATAAATACCACTATCTGATGAATTCTTTTAGTTTCTCTTTCTCAAACAGCCAATTAAGAGGAATAAAAGTAAAATAGCAACTAACGTCCACATCAATTGACAATGACAGTATACAATTACAAGATCAATTTATTACTAAACTCAATTGACAATGACATGAGGTCTTGCTAAGCTAAAGAATTTTGCATAATGAGAACTCCACTAAAAAATGTTACAAACAAAAATACACATACTTGGATTATCTAACCTTTACCTTACAAAGTTACTCAGATTGTATAAAAAGGCACTCTTTCCAAATGATTATGCTTTACCCTTAGGGATGACAAAATATGACACATCATTTGGTTGGGATGACTAAACTATAAATCTGGGTCATATATAGATTGAAGCAAGGCAATAGTAATGGCAATTTTTATGTAAAAATATCTCAATGAATCATCTAACACAAGAACACCAAATATTAAACCATTCCAAGGAAAATAGCCCAAAATTGTCTTCCTAGTTGGTGCAATGAATCAACTCATTCACAAAATACTAAAAATTTTTATCAAAATCATAGTTATGTCAAAAGAGAACAGAAGGGAGAAAAAAGAAAGGAATCAACAGCAGTCATGCAGCTTTATATAACCAATTAATGCATCAAAGAAACTATCAAAAATTGTTAGCATCATGTTTAGATTGAAGGAAATTGATGGAAAGGAAGGGAAACACCAAGGGATACTTGGCTTCCATCCCTCTTTGGAAAGGAAGGGAATCAAAGGGGAGGGTAATGCAGGGGTTACCAGCACCCCTCCAATTCCCTTCTACCCAAATTGGGCAAATATCAAAGGAAAAGCTTAGTTTATATTAAACTTCTTCCAATTCTCCCAATAATTTCCTTTTAAATTTAAAAATAACAGCTTAATAAGACGTGAAATTGTGAATTACTTTTAAAATTAATCATTTCTTTTCCTTTCCACTCACTAAACAACAAAAACATAATATTTCATTCCCTTTCCTTTATTTTCCCTTACTCATTTTTAGCTATCCAAACAAGGAAGGTAATAATCTTTTCCTTTATTATTTTCAATCCAAACATACTATAGGAGTGAGATCAACAAACGAGAAACAAACTTATGATGTTAACGTGCACACTTACATTTGCTTTGTTCCAAAAAAGTAAACGAGTACTTTCTTCCAATCAGATGAATATCCCCATTTCTCCGGTTCACTTACCTGCCCCACCAGCAACAAGCAATATAAGCACAACAGGTACTAATCCAAAGAGAAAAGGAAAGAAAAAGAAAAAGGAAAAATAAACAACCGTTTATAGCAACTAGGTTTGGTTGGGCTGAGAATACTGAAAAGTGAAAAGCTACTGTGGGTAAAACCGTAAAGGATCTGACGATGCAATCTTGCAGATTGCTCCAGTTCCCCGAAGCAAACTTTAAACAAAAGTCAGCAAAGCAATATTTCATCCATCACAAAAATCTTTACTTACAATAAAATAGGCCAACCGGGCATGTGACTAATTTTCTGCTTACTCATTAGGGTTTCTGAAAGGACAAATCACAAGTTCATGGATACTAATTTTCAGAGACACCACACGGTGACATATATAAAGTAAAAATTATAATAAAAATAAAATAAAATAAATAAAGGCAAGAAGCATGCTACTTAACTTACAGAAAATCCTAATAATAATCCAATAAGAGTTATGCTTCAATTCTGACCCAAGTTATAAATCCCATGTCAAAAGTATAAGACAAACTATTCCCAAACGTTCCAATAACAAATAATCAGAAAATAGTCTAAAGACTGTAACTTTACTCAAAACCAGCAAGATAACTGCATTACTTCGTACAGAAACAATCAAACCAATACTTGGAAAGAGAAATAGAAAGCTGATTAAAGTATTCCATACCGTAGCAGGCCAAGCAGGAAAGCCTTTGACTTTAGCAAGGACAAGATCACCGACCTTCCACTGGCGGCGAGCGGCGGCGGCGGCAGCAGCAGCAGTAGCAGCTTTGGAGGCGCCTTTTCTTCTGCTGGGCGCCATCTCAGAACCAATCAGAGTACCAATCCAAACTGAAACCTACCCCTAAATCTCCCAAAACAACGAGCTCCCCAGCACTCCCTAGGATTCACACACCATGATTCCGCATAAGATTTTGCAGGCATTTGAAGCCCCCCAAATCCGGACCCACCAGAGCGAGAGTGTGAGCACAACTGAAAGTCTGTAAAAAAACCCTAATTTTCAACAACAAAAGCAGAGAAATTGAAAGAAGAGATGCTAATCATGCTATGGAAGAAAAATATAATTAAAAGCAGAGAAAATACACAAATATTGAAATTGGTTCGTCCAGTGCTAAAGTGTACCGGTGGAGCGTAGGATAAGAGAAGAGGCAGGAGAAGGCGGAATTCGCTAAAGTGCACGCCTGGGGTGTAGGTTAAGGGAATCTGGTAAGGCTTTAAATCCACGTGACCTACCTACTCTTGATGCTGGATTTAGGAATGGGCTCGTTATTCTCTAGATTTTGGGTCATTGGGCCTTGATGTCCTGGGCTGGGTACTCATCAGCCCATATGAGGGGTGTTGGGCTTTTTTCTCTTGTATTTTAAAAAACAAATTTGTCTAATTTATACCTAAAAGCATGAGTTAATAAAATAAAGTTTTAAATATAATTTTAATACATTAATTTACATAAAAAAAATTAGCATTAATTTTAACATCTCTAATATATGGATTTTTTTATTAAATAATTGATAAATTTAATAACAACTTTTTAATTTTATTATAAATATTAATAATAAAAAAATATAATAAATAAAATGCACAGATGGAAAATCCCTTTAAAAAATGCATCATGCACGCGCGCAAATTAGGACGGCGGAACGAATCCATGTCGGAATTGGACAAGTCAAAACGCGTTACGCACATGCGCCGTCTTTTGACTGCACTATGGTCAAAACTCTAAAACGTCAAACCTTTCGCTTCTGAATGTATATATTTTTCTAATTTTCTCCGCGGCAGCTAGTGTTTTCCGTTCATCTCAATTCCTTAAACACCGCGTCCAAATCGATCGAGGAAACAATGGTTGTCTTGCCGCTGCCAAAGATCTCCGTTCCGATCTCTTGCTTGGCGCCTACAACGATTACCACTGGAAAATATCTTTCAACGACTACGTATAAAGCCGTACGTCCGAATCCAAACTCTGTTGGTTTTCGAGAAGTTTCTGTCGGGCAAGGAAGACAGCTGGTTGCGGATGATCAAACTTGGAAAATGGGTCGTGAAGAGAATTATGTTGGAGGAATAAAGAGATTAAGATTGGAGAGAGAGGTTGAGAATGTGATTCTCCGGTTGGAGGCGGTGGCGAAGAGGGTTGTGGAGGTGGAGACGGAGAAGTTCTTGAGTAAGGTAAAAGGTACAATATCGTGCGAAGAGCGAGAAATGGTGGAGGAGACAAGTTGGGAGATAATGAGGCAGTTTTTGGAAAAACCCATTCGGTATCTAAGAAGCTGCAGTGATGGCTGTATGGAAGAGAAGTTGAAGGTCGTGGAGATGATAATAGATGGGATGGTTGAAAAATCATGCTTGGAAGAGAAAGCATAGCAGAAGAAGCTCAAATTGTCCTTGTTTGAGAAATTCATTGTTTAATTTGTATTTGCATTAATTCTTTCTTTTGCTTTTTGTCCGAGCAAATAGATCATTTATGACTGTAGATTTAGGCATATTTCACCAAAATTTTGTAGATTTGGAAAGTAAGCCACCTTGGTAGCAAGAAACAATATTGTTTAAATAATTTTCATTGTAAAGACATCAACGTGATCATTTTTTTAAGGGAACATCTATGTCATTAATTAATTAATCAATTGTTATTTTTTATTTTTATTTTAAAATTGAACAATGAAAGTAACTCTCTCTTATTTTTTTAATCCACTCCAATAACAAATCATATGACTTGGAGTCAAAACTTTATATTTTCATTGAAAAGATTACCATGAAATGTTTGTTTCGTTACATTTTGACATTAATTTCATTAATATTTAAAAATCACATTGAATCTCAATTAATATAGAATTGAGTTAATTTAAATTCTATATAATAATAAAAAAAAAACTCTCACAATAACTGATTTTTTATTTATAAAATTTAAATTTCAATTCTTACTTTTAAAAAATTTAACTTTTTCTACTTAAATTGACAGATTATTAATGTCTTGTTCCCTTGTTACTAGCTGTTAGAACAGCATGCACTGGAACAAAAGTAAGTAGTTATAGACTTATGGTGTACTTAATGGGCTGAATCTGAAAGGCCGAAGCCCAACCCTAGCCTATCTTGTCTCCACCTACCTAAGCCAGAACAAAACTCAAATTCTATGATCCAATTCATATCTACAATCAACCAGGCCGAAATCGCCAACTGTAAGGCCCGTACAAGAAATCATACCGCGTAGATCAGCCCCGGGGTCCACAGCCTTTGAACCGTTCAACGTCAAATTAACCTATCATTACGTGTTGACCGAACTCAACTCTCCTTCTCTTGCCGCAAAACGACAAAAAAGCATCTCCTTTTCCACGAGAACAAACTATACCGCATGTCAGACATCTTATTATGGTGGTCCATCACCTTTTCACAAACGCCACGTATCAACCCAAGACAGTTCCCACCCACCACGTGTCCGCCGTAGCACGAAAGACAGTCACTTCAATCCATTACAAATAATTTTATAGTATTACCCGAGAATCCGTTAGTGACTGCCACGTCTTCACTTTTTGTCCGAAATGAACACGCGTCATCAGATGAAAGGTCAGACTGTACCCGATATATTTAGATTCTAAAAGCCACCGAACCACAAACGGACAGCTCATGTCTTGTCTCCGTTAAACAAACAAACAGTACTGAAATTCGTGACTGCTGTTAAAATATAAGGTCACCTTCCAAGATCGAGCATGAATACGGACAAACAAGCATTTGTTAAGGCACTCGTGGCGGACG